TCTGGACATCTTTATCTAGCACTTTAAACCATTTAGAACTTTATGGGATTATGGCAGCACTGAAAACATTCTAATTACATGTTTCATTGTCCTGAGACTGTAATAAAGAAGTAACCAAATGGATGCCTTAAAGCATTAATGTCACAGAGATATACACAGACAAACAAGAGTTGCTGTTGTTCCTCTGCAGTCTGCAGGGAAGTAAAGAATGAGTTGGGAATGGTAACTGGAACCGTATACACTATGACACATGGTGCAACAGCAGAGGGGGGGATCAGTGCGAAGTTCATGCATAGATGAAAAACGTACATGAGGAGCAACTTACCTGACCTCATTCAGTAAACCAACTGCACCGAGTCCAGTTTTAGCTCCACGCCTCTCTTTGGCACACGCAGCAGAGCATATGGTGATGAGGAAAGGATGCAGGATTGTTCAGATGGATGTTGCTGCTTCCCTCATGTAATGATTTTTAGGAAAGTTATGCAGTGCAAGTATGGCAAGTGAGCGTTTTTTTTGTTTGTTTGTTTGTTTGTTTGTTTTAAATGAAATTTCCATACCTTCAAACTGCCTCTGGCTTTTGTAGTGTTAGGACTTTTTACTGTATAGCTTCTTAAATCAAAGTCCTGAAACTTCTCACTATTAGTGTCCCCGCAAATGCAGTAGTTTAATTTCAAGAGAGCAACGACATGAAAAACTCTCGGTTAGAGACGCACCTGCCGACACCACAAAACGATTTGAAGGTTGCCTTTTAAAAGTTCCCTTATCATAGCAATTAGTTTTATTTATTGTGAACAGACAAAGATGGAGAGCTCAAAAGAATGAAACAGAGAAACCGTGATGTAATACTTTCAGCCTTGCTTCTGCCTGCTTGACGTCTTGCTCTCTCTCGCTCTCCTGCAGTCTGAATCAACTGTGAACTAATGTTGTCAAACTAAAGGAATCTCCAGCACACCTCCACCATGTTCTACGTAGTTAATTCGGGAAGCAAAGATTGTTTTAAAACTGTTTTTTTTTATGTTGCTTAGAAACTGGACTTTTAGTGAACTGTTCACTGTTCACAGTTGAACTATGAACTGTTCAACTGAATACTTTCACATTGAAAGTATTCCGATGTGAATACTTCCATAAAACATATTAAGAGATATATTGTCTACTGTTTTGCCACACAGGAAAGCACAACATGTCAGTCCGTTCTAATTTCATTTAAGTCTCAATGGCTGCTGACTCGCCAACTACAAACTGGTTTTACAGAGATTAACATGATGTTACTGTTTGTAATTTTTGTGATCGTTACTAGAAAAGAACGTTTATTTGGCTGCATGGTTTTGTGTGTCAGGTTTTAACATTTTACATTGTGATAATCCAACAATCCTAGTCTGATATTCTGGTAAGAAAAAAGAAGGCAAAGCAAAAGAGATGACATATGTGTTTTATGTAAAAACAATAAAAAAGTTTGTTTCAAAGAATCTATTTGTTTTCAGGCAGAAAAGATCTAGTAGAGATCCCTGATAACGTCATCCCCTTAAGTGAAGTAATGCTTTGTTGGCTTCGTTAGGCTCCCAACAAACATGTCCTGTGTGTGTGTGTGTGTGTGTGTGTGTGTGTCCAGATGTTTGCAGCCTGTGGGAATGAGAGCGGTTTGTGAGTGGGACAGGAAATGATGTTAGATGTTCTCATGGAGAATGTGATAGTGCTACACCACACTGACTAGTTTCCATTTCACACAGACACACAAACAGTGTGTCTCCAAGTCATGTGCATGCAAGACACACACACAAGACGGCTAAACTGACACAAGTTGGAGCATGTGATCCTCGTTCCTTGTCACAAAACATCCATGTGACACTAATCTTTCTGTATCATCCAGCACTCAGCACTTAAGTCATAGACAGAAGTGGGAAGGAAGACAAATAAAATGAGAGCAAAAAAAGTTCGGAGAAAGCAAGAAGTTCGGCGAGAGCGAAGAGTTTGCATGTGCGCATTTGTCGATTTGTTTGCATTTGCATGTTGGCGAGTCATCAAATCTGGAACCTGAAGCAGCAGCAGTGTTTAAGCCACTTACTCTTGTAAAGCAGCTCAGGAACCGTGGAGCAACTTAAGGTCAGCCTGGACTAAGAGCTGCGAAACACTGAGTGCCTCCAACGTACATATTTATTTCCAGCAAGGATGGGGATGTTATCAAACACAAACATTTATCCAGGTTCCTGCTATTTGCAGACTCCACCCACCTTCTTAACCTGAAATCCCATTAAATTATTAGCATTTTCTTTAAAATTTCAGCTATTTAGTTTCAATACTGAAATATCATATTTTTTACTTGGATGTAAAATGTATCAAAACTGAAAACTCCCATCATTTTTAGATCAATAAACACATCAACAAACAGTGAGTGCCTTATTCAAATGTTACAGTTTCATAAGAATATTATAAATGCTATTGAAAAGTGTCTTAATGCATAAATGGAAATAATATTAAAACTATATTATGTTTTGTAGGTTTTTACTACTCCTATCAAATAACCTGCAGGATATTCTCTCTTATGTGCGTTGTCATTTCTTAGAATAAAACACAATCACAACCAGTCGAACCCGATTAGTTAATCTCTACTGATTTTATCCCATGATCACTGTGTACTTTTACACCAGAGAAAGTTATATTTCCTAAAGGTTGGGATTTTTGTTGCCATACTGTTGTAGCTTCTGTTCCAGATATATAAAAAAAATGTTCTGATAAGAGGGTGCGCTGCAGACAGATGGCTAGTTTGGCTCTTTCCCACTTAACAGAAAACCCCAAAAGACATTTGCATTTGTGAAATATATTTTAGTTAGTAAATCAGAATTAGTTTACTTTAAGAGCTGGTACACTGATCAACACATGCTCACCTGCTTATTTCATGAAATCCTATATTCTCACCACTATTAAGAGCTTTTCCAAGACAGCTGAGTCACGGTAAGGTCAGAGGGAGAGCATCTGTTTTTGTAAAGATAAAGCTTTTATAAGTGATAAAGCTTTTAGAATAAACATGAGCAACAATAAGAGAAGATTAGCAAAGGCTTAATGCACTTCTACACCCACACACACTGAACAGCGTGGTGTAACTTGACCGGCTTGAGTCTCTGCTGCCAGGGAGCCACAAGCGACCATGTGTTGTGAGAAAGATGCAGAGAGGTCAGCATTCCCTCCCAGAAGACACTTTATTCCAGTTTCCTGTTTTATATTCGGTAATACAGACAACAGATGCAGAATTTGCTTAAAGCGATAGTTCAGTCATTTTGTTCAGGGTTCTGTTCAGATGGTTTATATATTTTGTTCTTGGTGTGTGTTTTACACAGGAACATCATTGGTGCTGTGGCACCAATGATGTTTTCTGTGTAAATAATCGACAGTTTCTCTGTAATTAACCATTCAGCGCAGACATGACAAGTGCTACCAACTGCAAGTGAATTATTAACGATTAACAGAGTCTCCCTTCAAAAATCCTGACATACCTCTTAAAATCTTGTCTTCAAAGTCTGTCTGTTGTTTTTATTCACGTCACGCTTTCTGTACACATTTAAACAGAGCAATCATTAATTTAAAAACATAGGCTGGCTCTATTCAGAAATCCGTTCCCCATTTTCCATTTCAATTTAAAAACTCCTCGTTTTCATTTTCCCTCTATTTTCATCCTCTCCTTCTGATTGGCCGGTTTGAATTTTCAAACTGAGACAGAGTTTTGCCCCCTCCCCTTTCAGTCCACAAACACCGGATATTAACTCGTCTTTTTCCTTCCCGTCCTTCCAAAAACAACCAGATGGTGAGACAGCAGCTGAGAGACAGACCGCGGCAGCGGGCGGAAACCCCTTAGAACGATACGACAGCCTCACACTCGTGCACTCTCTTGCTCTCAGAGTGGATAAAGACCTCATTGTGTCCTCCTTGACGTTAAAAATGTCGGAGGAACGTTGGAAATTTAACAAAGAGCAACTACTGACCAGGGGGAGCTCTGACCCACCCTGTGTTCACTTAGTGTTTACGTTGAAAAGGCTTTTATCAGGAATTCCTGAAGTGACTGGGATGACTGTAGATTATTTGCACATGCTCTGAAGGTCGCTTGCTTTAACCGTATCTGTCTGAAATGAATCTGCTCTGAAAGGTTTCTGGAGGCATTGTGCCACTCATCTCTATCATGAGGTCAGCTCAGAGTCCTGATGAGGCATTTCTACGTTTCTGTGAGCATAACTGAAATAAATGAGAGGAAAGTTGCCCTTTTTCCCTGAAGCAAAATCTGGCGACAGTCCAGTGACACACACACACACACACACACACACACACACACACACAGACTTATGATAGCATTATGCTGGTCATATTTCAGAATCTGAAATGAGGATTATCCCCGGGGGGAGAACTCTTATCTCTAGTTGGTATACAGCTGAACAATACTCCAAATCCAGAAGCCCATATTCATGAGTGAAGCCATCAAAGAATCATTGTTCTGTTGGAAAACCCAGATGGTTCTGTTTTTTAACCATCTGACCCAAACCATTTACCTTTGGTGAACAAAAATTACTCAGTATGTTGAAAATATATTTCAAAAACCACCAAAGTTGAAGTTTAAAAAAAAACCCAGGAAGCTGCAGGAGCCAGTGTCATCGTGAAGCAAGTTATATAGAAGCGAGTGCAGAACAGCATATTTACACAAAACTGAAATCCTTGTTTTTTAAAATCATTGCTGCCAAAAAAAAAAATACAATTAAATGATACAAGCAAATACTGATTCTTATTGAATAGAGCTGAAATATATAAATAGAATCTTGAATGTTGACATTAAAATAGTAAGTAAATGTCAAAGTTTCAACACCGGCAAATTCTTTGACAGCAGAACCAATACTAGCAGTTATGAAGCCAGCTAATAAATTTCTAGTAAACTTCAAGCTACACTGAGATTGCATTTCTCATTCATTCAAAATCATTTTGCGGCAACTGCTATACAAAATGTTGCTGATTTTAACACTTACTTTTACATCTTGCTCCAATGTCCTTATCAATTCTCCATCCACCTGGCCCGTTTGGGCTACGCGCAGAGAGCGCCGCTCTGCCTTTCTCAGTCGGTACTGCAGGATGCGGCAGGTTTTGTTTGCCTAAAGGGAGAAAGACATGACGTCACATGTCTTGTGTCTAAACCGTCCCTGTTCCTGCTGCAGTCAATGCAACACATGACCAGAAAACACTTAGAACAAAGTAGCATTTAATTCCTTTGGAATGGATTAAAATGTAAGAATTGAAACACAAAACAAAGGTAATAGATGGAAGATAGAGCAAAAAATCCTGAGCTCATAAAGCCAATACAGGGTTTAGCCAGTGAAACCATTATGAAGGTACTGTAGGCAAAACAAGGCAATTCATTTGCATAGCACATTTTCAGTAGCAGGGCAATTCAAAGTGCTTTACACGATTAGAAGGAAAATATACCGAAAAACAAAAAATCAAAAAGAACAATGACATTGCAGTGGCAAAGTAAAGGAAAGGGATGGCAGGTTGACAAACACAAGACAATTTATCATGTTTCAGTTCTTTATTTTATCAAAAGCAGCTCTAAACAAATGAACTTTTAGGTTTTTAAAAAAAAAGAAATAATTTTTTCCAGCAGTTTTGTCCAGATTTTCTTGAACCCCCCTGAGTCCAGACTACAAAGGTGTCTGTTGTAAACTAAATAAAAATCACTGGACATTGTGATAGCCATCTATAATAGGCAGCTTATTTTGAGCTCAATAACAATAACAATAGTTACTAATGCCACCTCTTGCATTTAGCCACAAGAAAGTAGCCAAAAAATTCCTCTATAGCTAACATTGCAAGACTTAAGGAAGAGATGTGGGATGGTTATGTGCAAGAACACTCTGGTGCAATTAGATGTTTAAGCATTGCGAAATTAAAGGCTCACGTTGCTTTGAAGGGAAGCCTGGAGATCATTTTGCTAATCCAACCTCGGACTGGTATTGCACAAAAGCATCAAAAGCAGATGACTGATAAACCTTTTCTTGCTTGCCTGCTTTGAAACATGCAGCAGCACTTTCCTTTGTCAACCAAGATCGGCTCTGGCTTGTTCTTACCTGCTCCAGCTGTTGGCGCAGTTCCTGCAGCTGGTAAACATCGTCCTCCATGTACATGTCCCTCATTTCCAGCATCTCAGACCTCAGCTCCTCCATCTCGTCCTGGAGACGGTTCAAAAAGAAAAAAAAGGGAGGAGTTAAGAAAGTAACACATGTTTTCATTACAATTCAAGTCATAATTGTGATAACGGCATATTTGACGGTAATTTACTCCCCAAGAGTGGACTGCAGTTAAAAGGTGAAAACATTATATGGACATAAAGGGAATCCTTCAACATTTATGAAGAGCTATTGAAGCCTCTTATCACCACGGCGAGGGAAATATCATCCCATTGACCTTGTTATCAACATAATCTCTTTGGTCAGCTTGTTGTCGGCCACTTCATCTTCTCTTCATTAGTCTAATAACTGCCTAATAATTACCTAATAATTACAGACTCAACTGTCTGCTGCAGCAGCTGGAAGGGTCATCAGAAGATAGAGTTACATAAACAAAAGATATTGCAAGATGTTCTCACCGGAAATAAACCTATATCTGTCTATATCTGCCTTTATATATCAAAAGCTTTCAGGACATGAAATGTGAATCACACACACACACAAAAAACCTTAATTCTTGGACACCATGAAGAACGTGACAAAAACATTGCAAAGAGATCCGCTGCACATTCCCTTCACGAATGTTACTATCCACCTCTCATTTTCAACAAATAGTAATCAGTGATTCATTTCAACCCAGAAACATGAATTGCATCATCCCTCTGAATCATATTTCGGGGTGCAGCTCTCATAGCAGCGTGAGCGTGAGTAATGAAATTATCATCCATGGGAAGAGGCTTGATGTGACAGCAGGATGTGTGTGACACAGTAGTGTGACTCCGAGACGAGCAGCGTGTGTTTGCTAAAATCTCCGCATGTACGTACATGAGTGAGGATGGTAGGAAACGGGAATGGGATGCAGCAGCACCAGTAGTAGTGGTAGTTGTAGTAGTGCTGACACAATTTTACTATAGTGAATAATGTGGGTCAGCTTCTGCAGAGCTGCTACTGTAGCAACAACAAGCTCTGGGGATGTGTCGCGATGTGTGCGTGGAATATGGAATGAGTCGAAGCGGGTTCAGCAGTAGGTAGGGTTCGCATGTGTCACTGCAGCAACAAAATACTCCTATGAGCGTGGAACTGCTCACGATTAAAGCTACTGCCTGTACGTTTTTTGAACATTGATCGGTCTCGATGATAATATAGTTTGTGGTCGATAGGATGGTTTTGATGTTTATCTGTGAACTCCACCTTCTCTAAAACAAGATGACCTCTGGTGACATCACATAAGGCACAACTGAGCCTTGAGCATATTCATTTATGCTTTCCTTGCTGCGTTTCTTCCTCTTTGATCACATTTTCAATCTAATCCCTTGTTCAAAGGTACTTACTTATATTTAGTACAGCAGCAGTTAAGCTTATCAGCTATATTTGGGAGCAGTGAATGTATTTCAGAACCTTTTGGCAAAAACAAGACGTGGATTTTTAAAGAGGTTTGAAATTACAGTTGATCACTTCAACACTGTGCCATTTTTATTGTTTAATAGACAATAAAACACCACAGGGTAGTATCTGAGATTATAATGCAGCACAGTGTCTTAAGCAACCCGGTGTTGATGAAACTCTTGACTTCAGTAGGAAGCAATTTGTTCTCCAAGGACCACAAGTACAAATGTGCAATCCAGGGAGCAGAGGGTCGATTGCAAGAGGAAAAAGGGGGGAAATGGAGGAAATAAAAAAAATGAGAGGAGAAACAAGATAAAAGAAGAAACTGAAAAATATGGGGATTTAAGAGGGCTAGAGCACCAAAATAAGGATAAATCTCCAAAGATGAAGATTTAAAAAAAATCCTAGCTGAAGAGAAATTTGGAAATGGGTAAAACAAATCCCTCTCTATGCTTGCAGACCAATTGTACATAAAGATGATGAAACATGACAGAGGGAGGGGAGAAAGTGAGGACATGAAACCAGGGAATCACAAGTTATCGTGGCAAGAGACTTAGAGAGAGCTTGTTCCACTGACCTGCTTTTCACCGCTAACTGAGAAAGAAAAGGGAAGATTGTCTCTGTCATGTGAGCACACAGCCAGTCAGGAGAAAAAAATCAACCAATCAGCTGTCATGTTTAAGAGTCAGACACTTTAATATTTGAAATCATGCTGTAATCACATCTCTTGCTTTTATTTGGTCATGTTAAAGCCTCAGAGTTTAATATTTGTTTTGACAATTATTTAATACACCAACACAAAGAAGCACACGGGGAAGGACAATGTCATAAAAAAAGGAATCGTTTGAAAGCGGTGGCGTGCATTGTGGTGAGCCCTTTAACTCTGATACCCCTAAATAAAACAAAGTGAAAAATGTTTGTTTTTTTTCACTATCGAAATAGATTTTAGCCATTTCAATAGCTGAAATCCCTCAGCTATTGAACAGAGACCATCTGTGTGTGATTTCATCTCTTTTTAAACACAGCTGTTCTGTGGAGGCCTCTCAGCTTTGTTGCAAACAAACATCTCACAGAGCAGGGTTTACTCCATCAGCAAGTGAAAACATGGGGGCAATACTGCAAGCCTACAAGAAAATGGCAGACCAGGTAAGAAGGTCATTCCTCAGAGAAGCAGCCAAGAAGCCCATGGTATCTCTGGAGTAGAAATACCAAGCTCAGGTTGGATTGGAGAGAAGGGAGAATCATTTTTAAAAGAAAGTCAAATTCAAACTTTTGCCACTTAGGGCCACCTAACACCCCACCTTGAATACACCATTGCAGCTTTAAAATGTGTCACTTGCAATGGGATATGGCAGACGGTCAGAGTTCATGTAAAATCAGTTGTAGATAAATTCAGGGAGAAAAACTGTTGGAGGCAACATAGACTTGAGACGGAGACAGAGGTTCACATTCCAGAAAGACAACAGTATAAACAAGGGATTCAATTAGAAGGCTTACACTAATGTGTTAGCAAGACCCAGTTCAAGTCCAAAGACCAAAATCAAACAGATACTGTCTGTGGCAAGACTTGAGCATTGCCATTTTTGCATGCTGGTTTTTTTAATCTGCTGGTAGAAACAAATCCCTCAAAAACCTGAAGCTGCAACTGCAGCATAAGGTGAATGACTCAGAAAGGTTGAATACAAATGCACACCACACTTTTATTTATTCATTTTTTTTGTTTCAGCCATGTATCATTTTTCTTCCTCATTCAAATTATTTATATTTTGTTGGAAATATCACATAAATCCCCTGTAAATACTCTGCGGTTTGGTGCTGTAACATGACAAATGTGAAAAAAAGCAATAAATGTGAATGCTTGAGCAAGGCTCTCTGTATTTTATGTTAAAAGTTTGTTTTTTTCTTTTCCATAACATTCTCAGGTTGCAAGAGTATCATTCAGATTTCTTGATATGACAAATGATTTAGTGTCCTGTTAAAAGTATTTGCGACAAGTGATACATGTTTTAAAAATGAGGAAGGCAGGAACCATTTGTCCCATGACAGAGGGACTGAAGATAATTTAGGCAACTCCTTGCTGCTGTACACATAATTTAACATGCAAGTTCTTTATGCTGCTTGCAGGGTAAAAATAAAATGCAGGAAATGGCAAAAAGTCAATGTTATTCTAAGCAAAGTGAAATGTATATTTTGGTGCCAATTTCCAGATTATAAGCTAACTTGTGGATATTCATTCTCTGATACTAACCTAAACAGTTTTATTAGACTTAAATTATAAATAAAATGATTTAAGAACATTAGTAAAGGGTTTCTTTTTTATTTACGTTCTAATGCGTCTGTGTAACACAAGACTGCAGCAGAAGAGCTGCTAGCTTAGCTTACTACAAAATGCAACGTAGCCAAAAAAAATATGTTTTTTTTTGTTGAGGTGGGGAAATATTCGGAGCAGCATTTATTAACCTTAAAGCCACTTTCTGTCCTGTTTGCTTAGTAGTTATAGTGGACAAGGAGGTATTTTCTTCAAACAGAGCCAGCCTGCCTGTGCTCTGTTAAGCTAGCGTTCGTCTGCTGTAGTGTTGAGTTAACCTGTCACAAATTCAGATGTCAGGTTAAAAACCAAGATTTTTTAATCACATTCATGTCAAGTTTTAGGTAATATATAACCAATAGATTTATTCAATCAAGTATAGGATTATGTTCATGATAACCAATGACTCAGGAAACCAAGAAATTGCTCTTTTGTGCCTTTAGCTGTTCAAACAAGAACCATTGGAGTTAAAATAATCTGTGACATTTACCCAAAGTCTTTGGGTCAATTCACCAACGCCTACTTCCATGTCTCTATGAACCTGGTCAAACTATTAGACATCGCTGTATTTTTTATTTGAAGTTATGATTTTTTTTTATAATTTCATAAATAATGATTTAATTTATACTGACAAACATAGCATGCTTCAATCTTCGCATTGTCTGCATGTTCCCTTTGTTAGATCAACTGGCCATGTTATCTGTTGTGAAATATTTCAGGCTGTGACCCCTGGAAAAAAAAAAAACTAAATAAGTGTCATCAACACTGCTGATGCAGTTTATTCCTGTTATATTTTAGTTTTTAACCAAAAGGCATATTTACCCAAAGTGGACAATAAAAATATTTGAGAGCATCCATATAAATCATGTCACAGCAAGTACAAAAAAAATCCTACCTACCAGGAAGTTAAAATAAAATCTCCCGGTGTCAAACGATGTAATGGTGCAATCACACTAATTCAGACCTGTTTCCTGTCTGTACAAGGAAACTGATGCTCGTCTTGGATCTGAAACTGTAGTCACAGGATAGACATTCCTCAAAAATTAAGTCAACGCTGGGGAAAAATACTTTTCAAATCAGCGGGATAGCTACGAGTAGCAAAGACATACTCATACAGTAACACTTAAACAGCCCAGAAAGGTTTCTCTTTAACTTCAAGCGGAAGGAAAAACACTTGAAAAGAGTAGAAACGGAGCCAAATGTGGAGAAACAATGAAACTGTTGTTTGCCTGCCACACACACTGCACCAAGTGTGGTCTAAATAGCAAGGCATTGTAAAGTGTGTGCAGCAAGTAGTGTTTTTAACACGCTGCAGACGTAAAAGATTTTTAAGTTGACTGATATTTATTGGCTAATCAACACTGAAAGAGAGGCAGAACTACAAGCTCAGGCAGTAATACAGAGGCAGAGTCCAGATCAAACGGTGACAATGAACATCAACTGAGGCTTAAAGGAAAGAAGGTAGTCACGAATAAGATTTAGAATAAGGATTTAGCTCCAGTCTGTTAATCTGACGCTTAAACAGTTTGTTGTTTAGATCTTTGCAGGTGTTCCTCACAGCTGCAACGACAGATTAACTTGACTGCAGGCCCTCCCAGGAGTGTTTGCTGTGGTCTAAAGAGGTAGCTCTGAATCACGATGGCCTATATTCAATCTGCAGTCTGCCAGAGAAAAACGGCACTCAGAGGACGCAAAGAGTAGCTTTAAGTAAGAGAGAAACGCAGGAGTGTCATTATGCTTTAGTGTTCCACTTGCACAAATAAAAATGGCAAAGAAATGTCTGTGTTAGGAGGCAAGTAGTCTGTCCAGTACCACATTCAGAGAATATGGATCATTTTACTATTATAGCAATGGATGTAAAAGGTGACATTTTTACTTTTTTTTCCTAACTTTAACACTAAGACGAGATGAATGTCTTAAGAATTTAATTAACACCTTTGCATTACCAATTAGTCCGTTTAGAACTACCTGGGCATAAAGAACCAGAAACACACAGAGGCAAGTGTTCCTGATCAGTCATCGCTTCCAATCAATCTCTGACAATTACTGGCTTGTCTGGTCAGACGTTGCGAGAGCTTCGGGACATGCTCCCCAATTGATCTTTCCCTTAATCAGTCAATCTCAAGGTAGGCTTGACCAGTAGATTCAATTGTGCTGCTTTTCACTGCTGTCTACAGGCAATCTCTGAGACCTGAAACAGTTTTTTATTTTTTATTTATTTATTTATTTTAAGCTGATAACATCGTCAGGCTAGTTCTACTGTAACAATTTCACTTAATATGCTGGCTGTCACTCTTCAGCAGTAACAACAGCGCAGTGTTTGTGTAAAATGGATCAGTTAAATACAGGTTTCCCAAAGAGATTGTGCCTGAAAGATGGACTACTGGCACTAAACTGTACCGTTTACTGTGAGCCCAAATACTTTAGGGTGTTCTTCCAAGGCTATTGTGTCTAAGGTCTCTAATATGTAAATAAATACAAATCACAATCAAACTTTTCAACCTGCACAAGCTGCCATTCAAATTACTTTTGGGTCCATCAGACCAAAGGATTTTGTTCAAAGATGGACAGTTTTCAGAGTAGCCTCATAGGTGCCAATAGTGCACCGATTTAAGTCTTTTTTCTAAACAGAAGGAAAAATGTTGCAGTTTTTCTCATCAGCAACTCGAAGCAATTTTTGTGTTCTCAGAGAGGAAAAAAAAAATCCCAAATGTAAATGACAGAAAACCCTGTAATACAAGAACAAACCACCTTCTTGTATCTCTTCCTACGATTGTGTGTTTTTCACTACATGCAGTGTGTTTAGTGCCTCATTCTGAACAGAAGTGCTATTGTTATTTGTCAGTGCAAACAGTCAAAGACATTTGGCTGTAAGGGCCTCTGATTTGCAGAGGCGCTGCAGAACGCCTCCTGGGCAAGTTCCGATATCAAAATATGAATCAATGAAGCTCAGGGGAAAAAGCAAACTCCCAGGATGAATGGGAGGCTTACTGTTGGGTTCGATTCATCCTGAAAGTCAAAGCTCAGATCTGGGTTGGATAATTTATAGCTGCTCTGTGTTTTTGCTAGATGATCGGGATTTCTGAAAATCCAATTACAGAGTACCAAAAAGCATGCACCATTAATTCGGTCTATTTTGTGCCTGCACAGTCAATGCAATAGAAAAGGGGAGGCTTTGAGAACAGAGGAAGGTAATCGAGTGGCAGCAAAATTTGACAAGCTATATTAGGCTGCTGTGTTGTTTCCAGCTAAACCAGTGTAAAATGAAATATGGCCACTACTACCAACAACAACAACTTGCAATGTAATTCAATGAAGCAGAATCTCCTTCAAACCCAAGATGCAACTATTGAAATTATTTACATTCCTTCCACTTTAAGAGGTGGAAAGCATATCTGTTTGGTCTTTTGTTAACGTCTAGTCACAACGATCCTTCACAGATCATGCGCAGAGAGGGGTTCCCAAAACAATCTTGACATGGGAAAAAAAAGTCAGAACGAACCAAAGAAATGTCAGCAGCTTAAGGTGCGCTGCATGAAGTGAAAAACAGCAAAACCTACCGAGTTATTAATTGTAAAATGACGCGATTTTTAATATTTATGTCTGACAGTGATGCGTGTTAGTTAATACGGTCCGTGCGTTCAAGGGAACCACAGAAAAACAGAAGATGAATGTTCCTTACTTTGAGGTAATCATTTTCAGATCTCAGCTCTTCTATTTCCCTGAGGTACTCCTCATGCATGCCGTCGGTAAACTCCTCCGTGAGGTCTGAGAACGCCAGGGATGTGCTGGCAGGCACCCTGCTGTCAAACGAGGTGGCCGACCGCTCCTCGCCCGGGGAAATGCTATCCTCCCCGGTCTCCACGCTCAGAGAGAACCGATCCTTTTCATCTTTCTCCGCGGTGGAGCAGGTGTTCTTGGCGGCTGCTCGCTGACCAGCTCTGCTCCCGAGCGGCTTCTCTCCCTCTGCGCCGCGGCTGCTCCTCGACTCGGCGTCGCTGCTCCCAGCATCCGCTGAGAGTTTGTTTTCCTCGGAGGCGCAGTCCGAAAGCTCGGAGCTGCTGTCTGTCGGGGAGAGCTTCCCCGCGGCGCACCCAGAGTCTTTGGATAGGTCGTCGGAACCTGTGCTGGCGTCCGACACCTTCCTCCGGCCGCCGTTGCTTTTTGCCGCTTTGGACGCCGAAGTCTTGGACAGCAGCGAAGATTTTCCCACTGTTTTACCACCGCCCCTCTCGACTTTACCGTCCTTTCCAGCGAGGCTGCCCACAGGGCTGCGCCTGGAAATGCGGCTGCCCAGATGGATAGCTCCGGGCTTGACGCTCAGGGTCGTGCTCCCGATCCCTCCGCGGATCTTTGTGAGCGACCAACCGGGCACGTCCTTCGGTCTCGCCGGAGACGGTGCCCGGTTTATCTTCTTCTTCCCGCCCGTGTGAGCGGGCTGTGCCGCCGTTTCAGCCCCGGGGTGCTGCTGCGGCTGACCGGGCACCGCGTGCTGCGCCTGGCCGCCGTCCGAGCTCTCCGTCCCGCCTCCGCTTTCCATCTTCTGCCGGAGATGAAGTCTCCGTTCCTTTGGCGAGGCGAAGGAGAGGTGAGTCGGACAGTTATGGACATCAACCTCCTTTGTTTTTGTCATTCATTCCGTTTAGGGCGACACAATGAAAAGCTGAAATAAACCACCTCCTCTATGCCGAATTAGGGAGGCAGAAGTTGAATAAACAGCCGCAGAGCAACACAAAAGGGAGACCAGTCCTCCTCCTACAATGAGAGCTTGCGGAGCAACAGGACGACGCGGAGGAAGATGAGCCTGAAAGCTGCAAAAATGCTAAGCAAAAACCCCAGTTTGGGAAGCAGATTTTCAAACTACTCCGATTTGTTGTTGCCCTCTCATTTCTTTAGGATTTCTTTGCGCGGATAGCACAAACCAACCGGTTCCTGCTTCGGAGCAACTGTGTCTGAGAAGAGGGAAGCAATGTGGTGGCTATGGTCACTATCTCTCTCCCCCTCTCCCCGCCCAGATAATGGGATGCATTGAAAGACGAGGCGAATCGCATTTCTGAAGCTCTGTCGCCACCGTTGTGAGAAGAGCACACAAAGCCGGGAAAAAATTAAGATAAAAAATTAACAAATCCATGCGTACTATGGAAAGCGAAACATTCAAATGAATTTACACACAAAAAAATCCCAGCAAAAATTCTTATCCATTGGCAGAGTGCCAGGTATTTGAAGGATGTAATAAAAGACATTAACACGGTAAACAGAAAGGTCAAAATCATTTTTGCAGCACACTGTTGTCTGTCAAGATGAGGTTTGTCATACAACAAACTTGAGAACTGATTAAAATGCACGTTTGATATGCATTTTAAGAAATGCATATCAAACCATCTTTAAGTGGTAGTGTTCAAATACAAAGTGGAGAAAGGTTTTTAGATTTCTCTAAAGCTAAAAATCAATGTTTTAAAAAGAAAATAACTTCAGTATGTATATTTACCTTACTTCTTCCACATACTGATGCAGATTCTCTCTCAGGAGCCCGTAAGTCGAGGACAAATTGACTTTTCTTTTTTCTTGAAGAAGTCTCAACTCTCATTCTAAAGGCGTCTTCAGTTCTGACCAACATAAGACGTTATGGGCTTAAGAGTTGAGGTCAGAACAATAGCATTTATGAGGCCATTGAGGTCACAAATGGGACGATTAGGGCATGCGAGTCACTGTCGTCACACTGTTCACAGCTCAGCGTAACTTCCAACCGTGTTTTGAAGTTGAAGAACTCTTCTGGATGAAGAAGTACATTTTTGTAAGAACAAATCTGCATTGATTCTGCTGAAAACAGAAAACTTTCTCTACCAAGACAAAACATTCCTTTGTTTTGCTTTTGAAATCACCTCATTTGATGTGGTAAGATTTAGGACCTCACAGTGGCCCAAACCTCATTGTGAGACCAGAGGGAGGAAACTCTGTAAACCAATCACCAAATGCTTCCACAATACAAGCAGCATATTTCACTAATTGTGGATGAAAAATACCCCGACGTGCCTCTCATTGACGTACTCTCCCAGTTACAGAGCCCAATAGATCCCAGTTGCTTTTGGGGCACGAGAAACAATAGGAAATCGCTGCGTTTGCAAGACATTTTCAGTGCAGTAATTGGATGGCCGTGTAGGTGGGTGAAAACATGAGCTGCATCAGCACCGTCACTGCACTTTATCCAGCCTTCTGAGAATAAGTGATTGGCATTGTGTCACATTTTTACTGTCCTATTTTTTGGAATGTGTTGTACTTTTAATTTTAGTTACATTTGTACTTTCATTTCGAAATCGTAGGACTAAACCACAAAATGTATTCCCCCAACTGCAGATTTATCAGGCTAAACTAGTCATTATTTGTCCTAGTGGAAAATTACGTACTGCAAAAAGTGTGACTCATATGCCCTATTTTGAAAAAAGAAAATCTCTACATTCTTTATTTTCTGCAGCACAGAATTGGAGGTCACCTACATCCTAGAAAGTCAGTAAGCAGTGCTCTGTATAGGCTATATACTGCTTTAATCTGACTGGTTTCCCTCCGATTTAAAGAACAGAAGTTAAAATCTGTAAAAATGTGTGACCACATAAAAAGCTTCTTTGACCAGCGGGGTTTCCCATGGTGTAATACTTGGACCACTTTTGGTTTTAATACTTCCCAATGCAGGAAGTATTAAGTATTTTGTTGGCATCCATACAAAATACCTATTACTCATGTTATGAGTAATATTTATTTGCACATGTTGATTAAGCAACACCAATTTGCTAGTTCAGTGTTTCTAACTTCATGGAATCATTTTGGTTCCATCTTGACTCTGGATTCACTTGAAAAAGTCATCTCCTGGTTTTGTCTCTTTCACTAAAGGCCATTTGCTATACTCAAAAGTGTTGTGTTGTCTGCTTAACTCAAATACTTTTTTTTTTATTTCTTTGCGCTTAAACGTCTGTTATACATCATTTATTGGAATAGAAAAAGCATCACTGAAGAACTTTTAAGTCAATCAGAATGGGTATTGCTCTAACCTTTGTTTTGTGTGCATTATACAGTGTATATATATATATATATATATATCTGATCTGAATGATTAATTGGTAGGGTACTACTGTCAGGATTCAAACATCTACTGACATTGAAACTGCATGCTTCGACATAGTTAGATAATCTACAGTATCATTATTGAGATGAGCTCAGTTTAATGGGCTCTATTACATAACGGGGATTTGTGGTTTATGCTGCTGGGTTTTGATCTCAGACAGTCACCACAGAGGGATCGTCTTGTCAAAACATCTCTTATTTAAGTATCTTTGAGAAAATGTAATATATTATGGAGCAGTGTTTTACTACATGTCCTACATGTAATAAAACATGTAGGACATGTAATTGAGCTCCCAGCTCAATGGAAATCAGTAAAAAAAATCAAAATAAATTACACCAAAACTGTTGATGCACAAACAATATTTTTAATATTTTTCACAAAGTGACAGAGAAAATCAGCCAGTTTGGTTGCCCTTATCCAATAAGAGGTGGAAAGTAACATACAAGTACATATAAAAAAAATAATATTGCGTAGAAGTGCAATATTTCTTGGCAGCCACTTCAGAAAGTGAAGCAGTTATTTTAAAGAGGTTAATTACACAGAGAATATTATTTCTAGCTCTTTTTTTTTTTGCAGTTTTAATGATTGCAACATTCAGGTAAAGAAAACCCAAAATTAATTTCCTCATGTCATAGAAGACCAATCAAAAACGGCTATTTTTGATCACAAATGTCAGGATTTTGAAAACTAGCTTTAACTTATTATATACATTTATGGACTTAATACTTGTTTGGGTGTCTTCTTGCATGAATTACTGCATCAGTGTACAATGGCATAGGTCAACTGCCTCATTGGATTTGATATCTCTCATCTTCTTCCTGGCAACAGCCCACAGATTTTCTGAGGTTTCGGTCAGGAGAGTTTGTGGGCCAATGAAGAACAAGAACACTGTGGTCAGTGGTCCAGCTTTAGGTATCTTTGGCAGTGTGGATCTTTGGCCAAGTCCTGCTGGAAAATAAAATCAACATCTCATACAACTTGTTAGCCGAGGGAAGCATGAAACACTCCAGAATTGGACTGTTGTGTTGACTGCGGGCTCTGGACATTCAGAAAACACAATGGACCAACACCAGCAGACGGCATTGCAACCCAAACCATCACTGGATGTGAAAACTTCAAACTGGACTTCAAGCACTGTAGATTCTGTGCCTCCACTCTTTCTCCCAGACTTCGCTTTCCAAATGAAATGCAGAATTTACTTTCATCTGAAACAGTTCCTCTCTGCTTGTGCATCTTTTCCTACCCGATTCCTCCCCTCCACTCAATTTTGTGGTAATATGCTCGGACACAGAACTTTGAGAACAACCTGCTTTTTCACCGATGATCTTTTGTGACTTACCCTTCTTGCCTTCTGTCAAGACAGCAGTCTTTCCCATGATAGAATCGTTTAAAGCCTCAGGAAACCTTCGCAGGTGTTTTGAGTTAGTTGATTGGGGTGTGGTACCGTGAGTTTCCAATAATTACCCTTTTCAAAGTATTCTAAGTTTCTGAAACACTAATTCTTGAATTTTCATTATCTGTAGTCTATAATAATCACAATTACTCAAAACAAAGTCTTGAATTATATTACTGTGTGTGATGAGTCTATATAACGCAGGAGTTTCACTTTCTTACATGACTAACAAGGAATATTGCATTTTGCATAATATTCAAATGTTTTGAGCTGTATCTGTGTAGAAAGAGGAAAAAAATAGGACAATCTTTTACCGCCACCTTGTGTTCAGAAGGAAGAGTTGCAGCACAGTAGTTCTAAGAGGAGCAATCATAAACAAGGAAGAAAACATTTAAGTGATAAGGTAAAATTATTCGCATGACCACAAGTTATGTAATATTTTGCAGTAACTGCTATGCACAGTATTCATAGGTGTGTTTTTCTTACTAACAAATGTATATTGACAATAAAAGCAGAGCTGAGTTATGACATGAGTTTGGATTTTGACATCACACATTACAATGTTTTACAAAGTTTGTTGAAGAAAAGCAAAACAAAAAATTAGACATATTTGTTCATAGTTTGATTAATTACATCACAAGAGGACATTTCCTGGCCCTCTTTCAAAATTGCTCTCATATGTTACTAAAAGCAACATTTCTCTATAATCCAGTCAGGATTATCAAATATGGTTTGAACACTTTTGTGCAATCATGGAAACAAAACACCTTGAAAATTTGAATAAAAAAACAAAATCAAGGACTCCAATTATGTGATGTCACTGACATTGTGGGTGTGGTGCTTGTTTTTAGGAGGATAGAAAATCCCCCAAAAATATTTATAGCATAGCAAAATACCTGGAAATAAACTATGTTGTTCTATAAAAAGGTAAAAAGTGGCTGTTTTAAGGTGGATGACATGGCTCACTACCCAGGGTGCATTTGCTCTGGGGGACACCTGCATCAAACTACTTTTCTATTACTTATGATGGGGAGTGAGCGCTCCTCGAGGTTGTGCACACCATAAGAACTAAACAAATGTTTCTGTTAACTCTGACTAATTAAAAGAACACTTTGATTTACGGAAGTTGATTTGTCAGTTCAAAAAAAGTTGGAAGTCCTTTTGATTAACATGGTGCCTTACCGAGTTCTTTGCAGAATGATTTAAACTGCAATTAATTGTGTACAGGTCATGATGACCATGACCCTTTATTTAGTGGTACATCAGAAAAATCTCACAAATCCACAGCACTGCGTTGTTTTGTTAGAATTTCTTTATGATGCCCAGGGCCTCTGTATGTGCTAAGAATGACTGTGTCTTTGTGTGAGCGTCTGAGTAGAAGCAGGACTCTGTGTCCCACTGAGAGGATGAATAGAAACTATTTTTTCCTCCAATGTTCTCCGCCTGCTCCCCTCCTCCTCTCCTGCCCTCTCTGATCA